TTTATAATTTGCAACTTACAACATCTCCAATTTGTAAAACCTAAACAATTTTAAAACCTAGCAACCCTGCTCTACAAGGAGAAAGAGGCCCTGAGTGGTGAATTGGTTTCTAAGATGGATATCTATTTACAATTTAAATTTGATGCTAGGAACAGTTGGCAACCAGAACTTGGAGCAAGTGAGTTAACAACCAGACCTTCTTTCTGTCCTGTTTTATCCTCCAATTATGTTTATACTTGAGTGAGGTATACCAGGACTCGGGAGAAGAATGAGCTTTTTCCAAAAAAAGAAAGTTGCATCATCTTGAGCAAACATGTATGCTCCTTACAGAGTGCCTGGACTGCAACTGCTCAAGGTCATTTTCTTTTGCATCACCTGGACTCACCCACAAAATGTGCACCTCACCCCACTCTCGGCTGATGGCAGCAGTGCTGCCCGCTCAGGGGTCTGGTCACTGCTGATGATCAGAGCTAGCTCCTCCTTGTCTGTTCCTTTCCCAGACAGGCCTGATGTTTGGCTGGGATGAACCAGGACCCCTGGCCATGGTGCACTAGATGGCATCAGTTCTGACCAGTTGGACGTCCATTCTAACAAGTCAGTGCCAAGACAGACCAGTTGTTAAATATCTTCACTATCACCCCCCTCCCAGACCCCCGGATGCCCAATCATATGGCACGTAGAAGCGAGGAATGTCCATTCAGTTGCCATCAGAATCGGGCTTACAATGGAATGGGAGTCTTCCTTCTTCAAGAAGCTTTAGCCCAAGGCCCCACCTGTGAGTCTGGGATGCCCATGCCCATGGCAGGTGAGCTTGTCTGGCAAGCCAGGGGACAGTGCGGAGACAGGAGACAGTTCTGTCCTCTAGTGTTACCCTGAACTTGACTGGACCAGAAGGACATTTCAGGGAGACAATCCTTGAGTCTTTCTCCAGTCCTCATCAGTCATCTTCCCTCTTTCTAAACTACCGAGGGAAAAACTAAGCCCAGCCCACGCTCTTAGGAAAATGCTGGGCTTTTGAAAGAACTCTGGAGAATGAGTGAGGAAGGCTAGTTCTGAGGCTTACTCCATAATATTACCGCAGGGGAAAAGAATTCAGATGACAAGGCAGTCGAGCATGGCGGTCAAGAGCACAGACTTTAGCTTCCCGTAGAACTAGTGTCATTTGCTTTATCACTAGCAAGTTACACAACCTCTCTGAGCCTCAGTTTCCTCACTGATAAACTGGAGATGACCACAGTACCTAGCTGAGAGAGGTTCAAGGACTGAGTGGACCAGTGCTTTAAAGCAGTAAGCGCAGGGTCTGGCACACATTGCCCCACACACAGTAGCTCTTGATGCCACTGGGAGGTGACGACTGGGACACCATGTGTTAATGTCTATAAAGCACTGTCTATAATAGATCTGGGATCATAGCAAGGGCTCAATAAATCTTCCCCACCGTCATGATTACTATTATTGTGACTAGTTAACTCCTCTTTGACCAGAGTTCTGTAACTCTTTCCTGATTAGAGGAGCTTATCTGGGGACCAGTGCATAGGTTACAAATGAGGCGACCTGTGCAGGCCTTCCCTGTCCTTAACCAGCCAGGGTGTGATCTTGGATAAGTGATGTTGCTTCTCAGGGTCAAATTCACCCTGACTGTAAAAGGAGAAGAGGTTTCTTAGGGGGATCCCTACGCTTCCTTCCTCTCCTAAGGCTCTGTGAGTGTCAGCCCTGCCCAAGGATGTTGTGTGAGCCCGTCACTGGACCAGATTCAACAGATGCTTGTTGAATGCCTTTTGAATGCCAGGTTCTGGGACACCATGGTGGGCAAGACCGCCATGTCCCACACTCCCCTTCTTGGAGGTGACACTCAAGACTAAAGCCCAGGGGAAAATCAGAAAAAGATTTTAGCGTATAACTTGGTCCAATTGACTCTATAACCTGGGGGTTGCATGAGCTGATCAGGGGCTGTTTTACCAAAGCCCCACCCAACCTCTGCTTTAGAATTTCAACTCACCCCCTGTTTGGGTGGTTTGCAGAGAACTCACCTTTCTACATTTCTTTTTCTCATTCAGTCCCAGGGAGGCTCCACAAGCAAACAAGTTAGAAACAGAACTTTGAAAATCATCACTTAGGAAAAGAGACACGTGTCTCAGAAAAAGCCTCTGGAAGAAAGCCCTGCCCCTCACCACCCGTTACATGATTCCTTGGGAAGGACAGGACCTCTGGGACTACCACATAAAAAAGCCTCATTTTATAAGAAAGGGAATCAGGAGCTTAAGAAAAGTGTATCTCAGTTTTGTTCCTCCAGACAATACAGGTGTAATTCTCTTTCCTCTTTCACTTCTCATTCCTTAATCCTTAGAAAATTTACTCCAGAAAGAGGTTCCTTCCTTCCTTCCTAACATATCACAGGGTCCCATTGTTCATTGCCTTCCAGAAACGGCCATCCTTTTACAGAACTATTGTTTTCTCCCAGGGACTGCCACCGCAGGTAATCTGCCATCTTCCCCAGCACAGGTGGAGATCAAGTCAGGGAAGTCTGGGCAGGGCTGGGGCAAATGCACCGTGGTCTTGAGTTTGATTCCAGTTCTCCTGGAAGAGCCTACGGTGAGGAAGACAGAGCCCCACACCTGGCGCTCCTCACTGCTCACTGTGCTAGGGCACTTATCACACTGCGCCCCCGCCGGCTGCTCAAAGTTGGGGGGCTTCCAAGCATTAAATAAGCCACGGTGAAACCTTGCTTGTAAACAGATACAGGGGTTGCTGGATTCCCATCCTCTGCCCCACCCCCTTCCTCCCCCAGCCGTGGCAAATCCCAGATACGCCTCCACTCCCATGAGTTAAACATGGGTACTGAGGGCAGCAGGTGTCTCAGATCAGGACTGGTCAAGCCAGGGGTCAGCCAGAGGACAGGGGCACCAGAGGGAAGGACAATGCCACGAAAGAGAACACATTTGACCTGTTTGACAATTTTTCCCAGGGTCAGCGCAGGCAGAGACCCCCAGTGAAATAGGGCCCAGGAGGCACACCCAGAGCAGAAGAGCCCTGGATTTTAAATATATATATGAACATTTCCTTCTAAGTTCAGGCCTTGGAGCTTATGCCTGGACCCCTGTTGGAACAACCTGATGTGGGGAGCGGGGGCTTCACAATGCGTTTGGCTGGAAAGTGTAGCATTATGTGCAAAGTAATTTCCTGATTACATTTTAAAAACTAAAAGTCCCTGGCTTGTAGAAGGTATTCGGTAAAAGTTCAGCGAATGGAGAAGCGAGGGATGCCTGAATGAACGCAGCACTTCTATTTTTATAGCAGAACAATGGGCAGCTGCTGGTCCTTCCCTCTCACATGTCAAGGTCAGCAAGTGGTCTAGGCCAAGCAGAACCCACCTCTGGGAGAAGAGAGAGCGAGCCGAGAGGAAGGCCCTACCCACTATGTCCTCCATCACCCCAAGACTTGGCTTGCCCGATTTCCGTTCCGATCCATGTTTTTGAGGCGAACAGCTACGGAAAGTAGCGTGTTTCTCTATCTCCGCGTGGGAGCTGGTGTCATATCTCGTATTAACTGAACAGTATTTGTGAAAGTTTTCGGAGCTCTTGAGGAAACCGAGGAGGAGGAGGAGGAAAAGGCAGAGAGAAGGATTCTTAAAGTGCAGTGGAGTTCACAGAAGGTCTTCTGAGGTTGCCGAGATGGGAAGGGGCAGGGAGAAAAGGAGAGAGCAGGAAGTGGCGCCTGCCCCAGGTTTGGGTCCATAGGCCCTTGGCATCCTGGACCCAGGACTGGCATTTCCCTTTTAAGGGATCTGCCAGCATAGCGGGCCCTCAACTGGCGCTGATAACGAATGGGATAACAAATGGGACAAAGGAGGGGCGCACGCGGCGCGGACTCGCGAAGGGCGCCTGGCTTGGCACTAGCCTCGCGGAGGAAAGGACTTTCTGCCCGCTCTGCGTCCTCACCTTCTCCCTGCCCAGGGCCAGGAAGCTCTCCCGGGGCCCTTTAGAACCCTGGCTGCCACCCCACCTGCCCACCGCGGGTTGGAAGCTCTTTGTGGCGCCGAAGCTGAAAAGGGTCGGGCCCGGCGTGCTGGAGACCGCCGGGAGGGGCACGAGACTCAGGCTCCGGGACCTATGGCTGATGCGTCCTGCGGGGCAAGTGCGCGCTCCTGAAGTCCCGCGCCAGGGCAGGGACTCGCGGTCCTGCCCCACCTCAGGAGATCAGAGAGAAAAGAGAGGGCGAGACCGTGCTCCTGGGGGCCCCGAAGACCACCGGGCGGCGGTACAGACTTTCCCGAAAGGTCTGCGTCTCCGCGTTGAGAGCGCGCGGGAACCCGGGGGGCGCAGGGGGCGCCGCGGGGTTAGCTGAGCGTCCAAAGCCAGGCGAGGGCGGGGGTCTCAGCCCAGCCCCGCGCGCTCTGCCTCTAGCGGTGCCAGCCCGCGCCCCAACGCCGGGCTCCCGGGCCGGCGGGAGGCGCGTATGCGTGTCTGTATATACTGGGGACACTCCCCTTCCTGGGAGCTCGTGCAGAGCCTCTGCCCTCCGCTCAGGCCCGGGGATCCCCTCCCCCAGCTCAGAGATCCCCGCGCGCCCCCTGCCCACTTTGCCAAGGCGAGAAAGCGGCCGAGCCGGAGACAAAGAAACTCCTGCCTCCTCCACTCGCAGCCTCTCCACCCGCCCTAGACACTCCCCGGCGCCCTCCCTCGACCCCGGCGACATCGCGCGTGGACAAGCCGGGGAAGGGGGGCAGGGTGGGCGAGACTGGTCCCTGACGCCGGCCAACTGGAGGGTGCCCATGCTCCCCGCCCGGGGACACCCTACGGCAGCCGCGTCCCCACCCTCCGCTTCCCAAACCGTCCGGGGTCCCCGGCACCGCCACCCCCGGCCAAAACCGTCCCCCGCCTCTCCAGTGGAGCGATAGGGGGGCGCGGCGCACACAAAGCGAGTGTGGGGTGCGGGGGGAGAGTACTGGGGAGGGAGAGATCCTGCGAGGGCTCGGCGCTGGCCCGGGCGCTGCTATTTACCCGATTTCTTCTTCGATCTCCGAGATGTCTGCGAAGATGAGGAAGACCACGAGCAGCGTGAGCGCAGCCAGCATCCAGCTCCGGAACTGCAGCTGCATGGTGGGTTCGCGCCCGCCGGGACCCGCGCGGGCCGGCGCGAGGAGCGGGGGCTGAAGGGCGCAGCGGCAGGGAGCCTCCGCGCGCGGCGCGCAGCGGGGCAGACACCCTGCGCTCCGGGCGAGTCCGGGCCAGCGGCGGCGGCGGCGACAGCGGCAGACAGGGGTTGCTCAGGCGCGGCGAGCCCGTTCGCTCCCTCTCGGCTCCCGCCCGCCCCTCCTCTCCCCTCCTCCCCTCTCCCCTCCCCTTTCCTCCCCCGCCCCGCGCGGGGCTCCTCGCGCAGTTTGACAGCTTTGCTCCGCGCCTCTGCTCGCCTCCTCCCACCCTAACCAACTCCACTGTCCAGCCGCCCGCCTTTGCGTCTGCCGCCTGGCTTCTTTTAGCTCCGGTGGGCGCTGGGATGTGGCCGGAGCCTGCCACTCCCTCCCTAGGGGGGCTGAGCTCGGGGCACCGCGTGCTTCCGGATATCGAGCTGAGCCCAGGGAAGAGCGCACCCTGCCCGGCTACCCCGCCGGCTGGCAAACGCCCTCCCTCGCCCGCTCTTTGTCCAGCGCCCTCGTTTTCTCGCAAAGTTTGCCCGACACAAAGACCAACATCTGGGGACAGCCCCCAGCGCGCGGCGAGGAGGCGGTTTCAGCCAGGCAGATGTTTCAGCAGTTGATGAATAGAAGGGGATGTGGGAGAAGGAGAGGGGAGAAGAAATATCCAAGATAGGCCAACTTCGCCGGAGATGCTGATTGCAATTTGTGGGCGAGGTGCTCGCTCGGCCCGCGAGAAACCACCCGCTCCAAGCAGTCACCCGGGTCTCCATTGATAGACCCGAGACTGGGTCCGGAGAGGTTCCTAAAGTTGCCTGAGGTCACGCAGTCGTGGCTGGAACCCTCGGCTGCCCAGAATGGCAGACTCAGCACCCGCCCTGCCTTGGCCCCTGCGGTGCTAACTACAGGCTGGGCATCGTCTCCTCAGCTCTTGCCCTTTCCTGGCAAAATCAGTACCCTGGGGAGTCCTATTTTGATCTAAAGGCCTGCTAGAAAATGTGGCTCCCACAAGGGGCAATGCCCCCCATGCAGAATATTTCACGCATCCCCAGCCTTAGACGGTTTAACTCAAATTACATTTTGCACCAACCATTAGCCTGGGGTGGGAAGGGCCCCATTAAGTTTTACTGGAATTAGATAATTACTTAACTTTCTTTTTCTTGCACTAATTGTAACAATCTTGAAATCACGAAATGTAAATTCCCAGAAATGATCATCTAGTTTATGAAGGGGTCCTTGGGGTTTGAGTTTGGGGAAAAGAGTCCTGTTGGAGAAGCTGTATGGAATGTCCTAACTTCCTGGAAAGCAAATGAATAGGAGGGGCAGATCGGCTGTGCCCCCAGGGCCACCCATGCAGAGCCAGGCCTCAGAGGAGCTTGGGGAGGGGCTGGCAGTGGCTAAGTCCTTTCAGGGGGACCCTGGAGAGGTAAGAAGGCTTTTTGGGTTCCCCAACAAAGCACTGCCTGTGCCCACTGTCCTCTGTCTCTGTGTGTGTAGGAAGGAGGGGCGGGAGGAGGCTTCCAGCTAGGGGGCTGCTGGACAGCGGTTGTTGACCCTGGAAGCCAGCATAAGCTCTCCCCTGCAGGAGGAGTCCCTGTCACCCTGCCTGGAGAGCAGGAGGGAGAAGCAGAGCAGAGAAATGCGGAAAGCTCTGCATGTGGGAGCAGATGCCTCTTCCCCAGAGAAGGAATGTACTAATTCCCATGACAGAGCTTCATTTCTTTACCAACCCTTTGCAAAATGTGTGTACCTCCGCTCCTTTTACAGCGACCTCCATCAGAATACCACATTTTTTGGGGGACGGGGTGAGACTTTCTAATGTTGAGCACAATATTGGATGTCACTCTCCCTGTCTCTTAGCGGTGGCAACAGACATCAAAAGAGTGTTTCCCATCAGCTCAGCTGACCTTTTGGTCTAAGCATCCTGGCTCCAACTTTTCTGAGTCCCTAGATCTTTCCCTACATCTGGCTTGATGGGTGGTTTAGGAGTTATAGAGTTGTGTTTGTTACGTTTTGTCTTGTTTTTTCTGAGATGAATGGTTGGGATATGTGAATAGGGAGAGGTAAGAACAGGGTGCACCTGTTATGCTGCTCAATGTTTCAATCACTCATTCATTCGCTCCAGGACACAGCAATATTTATTGAACACCTACACTGTGCCAGACTCTGTGCCAGGGGCTAGAGAACCCGAGAGAGTGACACGTGTTTCCTGCCCTCTAGTGGCTCAGGGTTCAGGTGGAAGACAGACATACAACTCCGTAATTATGGTATGGGATGTGAGCTGCAATATAGCTATGGTCTCCTGCGTAGCTTATAATTGATGAATGAGATCACACAATAAGATCTCTACCAACTCACTTTTACTGTGCAGAACATCATAGAGAGATTGCCATGATCCTAAATTCATCCCAGGTCAGGTAAACCTCATTGCTACAAGCACTATTACAACAGAGTCTATTTCCATTTTCTATTAGGTGACCCATGTTATCATCCCAGGCTCAGATTCTTCCTTCTTTGGATCCACTTGAGAAGAGTCATGATGAGTGGCCAGGAAAAGTGGAAACTTGTTGAACAATTCTATCCGTTACAGAGAAATCCTTGTAACCAGACCCACAGAGCAACATCCCTCAAGTACATCTGCTGGAAATAGAGCTAGCTTTGTAATGCAGAGGATGTCTTTGCACTGAGAGTCATTGAGATGGGGAACCCTCCTGATGGTTGACGATGGAATGCTGTCTGCACACGCTTGGGTTTGAATCTGCGTGGGCTGGCTTCTTTTACAGTGATCTGAGCACATTCACTGCCCCTTGCAGCTGTCTACGAAAACTGAGTTTGTCCCTGGGATCTGGAAAGAGGAAGAATGATCGGGCCGGCAGCAAGTGTCATGCCTGCTGATGCTGGTAAACTGCCACATGGCACACGCTTGGCTCAGCCACTCTGACCCCTCCCCTCCTTGTGATCCCTCTGTTTAAGCAAGTCCCTTTTCCTGCCTTGGTTTAGGCTAAGTCATTGACTGTTCGGGTTAAAATACAGGAGTTATATGGGAGTGACAGCAAATTAAAAGTCATTACCAGTTATTAACATTTCAACTCAAATTAATAGAATATATTAGCTATTCTGGCACCTAATAGGCCTGGGGAAGTGCATAGTAATGAGGGATACAGGAGCAGGACACTCTGCAGAGCCCTGAAGGGGCCCAGTGGAGTCACACCCAGCAGTTGGCAGCCCTTCCTTATCTCTGATGCTGGCTAAGAGCGTGCTTCTCCTTCCAGCTGCCAACCCCCACTCAGAGCCGAAATTCATGGGAACTCCAAGACTATCTACCATTTACTCGTCTAACTAAACTCCCCCATGCCCCCCTCTCACCCCCAGATGCGGAGAGTTTTTTCCTGAACCACTTCTTGGGAGTAATAAAGGATCGTCCTGGCAATCCTTTCATATGGGATTTCATATAGGTACCATCATCTTCATTTTACAATTGAGGAAACTGACGCTCAAAAGAGACTAAATTGCCCAAGATGGCTCACTTGGCAGTGAGGGAATTTTAATTCAGTCGCCTCCCCTGGGCCTCAGCAATTTCTGGGATTGTGGGATTGCCAAGGTCCCTCTAGCACTCCGTGCAGTGCTAAATGGATCTGTGAGCAGGCACTGCCTCTGAGACTTACGTATCCCCTTAGTTCTGGTATGTCAGGATTCAGGGAACAAATTTATCTTCACTCACTGCACACCCTTCATCACTGGTGAGACTGTAATCATAAATCTCAATTTTCATCTTTCCACATGGAAGAGACTAGTCCTTTCAATCAATCCAATCTTTTTTTAAAAAAATCAATAATAAATAATAATTTTCTTATTCAAATTTCTGACCTAGTACCAAACACCCTTGAACTTGCTCAGAAAGCAGTTTAGAATGGTATAAAACTACAAAGTGGCAATGGCCTTGCTTTTTCATCATCTCTGAAGGAGGAGCTGTGAACAGCTATATGGGGGGTGGTAAAGAGGTGGGATATCATAGTCAGAATAGACTAATAGGCTATTGTGTTTCTGCAGCTCTGATAACTGAGAGAACCTGCCTTCTTTTTTGAAATTTACACTAAAATTGGAATGTTCTCACAAATGCAACGTTTCCCCCTTCAAAATCAGAATCCAAGCAGTAACAACATGGAAAAGTATACGGGCACATTTGCATTCCATTTGTAGCTTTTGCAAACAGCAAAATTGTATATTAGCCAAAGTTAGAAAAGAAATACACCCAGGAAATTGCTATAAATGTTTCTGGGATTATCAGCAAGAGATCTTGGGAGGGACGTGGGCATGAGCTCCCCAGTGAGTTGGAAGTGATAGCAGAGGAGGGGGGCAATGGTTCAATATATTGCTGGGATTTTTCCAAACTCTTCAGTTGGGATTAAAGGTGGTTTTGAGCCAAAGCATAAAGTCAGGTACCAGATGACAGAGATAAATGGAAAGGAGTGTCCTCTCACGATTCTTACCAGTGCTTCAGCAAAATTATCACTGTGATCTCTGAATCAGATTTCTCTGAATCAGCTCACCCAACTTTGCCCAGAGTCCAGCATCACCCACCTCCCCATGAGGCATCTGAGGAAGCTGGCCCGTGTCAATCATCCCTGACTCTCAGTCGTCTCACTTCCCTTAGCCTCTGTTGCACCACGGACCTCCGCATTCTCAGAGCTGGAAGGATGGGTAGAGATAGTGTGCTCCTGTCCTTTCATTCACTTAACCAGGGTTGCTACATAACCTATCATGTGTCTGGAATTATGCCAGAGGGCTGGGATGTGGTGGTGAACTGTAGGCACAGTTTCTGCCCTTTTGGAGCTTGGAGTCCAGTGGATTTTACTGATGGAAAATCCTGGACCCAGAGACCAAGAGACTTCCCACAGGTCCGCAGCTAGTTTCAGAGCTGAGAACAGATTCTAGCTCTCCTGTCTCCTAGTTGAGTTCAGTGCTGGTTCTCCCACACATACGCTATTTCGAGATTGAAGACTCCTAAGGGGTGGGGACCTTTATTCCCTTCTGGTCCTATGTTATCTAGCATGGTAGAAATCCAGTCAAACCTGTCCCCACCATGGCCAATTTCAAGCACCACCATCACATC